TTTTCTTAGTATATAAATCCTTAGGTAAGTTTACAATAAGAGCAGTCACAAGTGTAGTCTTTGGAGTGAAAGCAAAGACACAAGTTGACATGGGATAAATGATTGCTCTTCTGGGACTGGAAGCAACCTGAATATTTTGTGATCTTTTTTATATCACAACCATTGATCGCTAAGTCCAGCTTTCCGGGTGGAAAGGTAGACTGGAATGCCCAAGGGGACTGTTTGAGACTCCATGGTAAGACTTGTATAATGCTTTAGGAGTTCACTTGCGTTATTGGTTAGGGGAAATCTAATTATAGATCAGTTTGGGATCTCTGCCCTGCATCCTGACAATCTGCCCTGAGGTATGGCACTCAGAGTCAGGAGCCACTTCAGAAGTGCATGGCAATGATTCACTCCTGGCTTCTCCAACCTGCTGGACCAAATATATGGGGATTTATCTTAAGCAGATTTCATCACTTAACAGGCTGCACATCTCTACTGTGGCATTGGAAAACTGATGCTGAATATGCACTAGGAAAACACCCTCTCTGGGAGCAACAGATTTTCCAGAGAGGAAAAGCTCTCTATTGGACACACAAGCGATTTTATTAATCCTAACCTTGTTCTTTAACTTTATAAATGAAGAATTAAGTAAACCTTGCATTTCAAGTATGAAAAATGCAGGCCAAAACCAACTAGATTATCTGGTCATGCCTGACCAATTTGATTAGCTTATACGATGAGGTAACTGGCACTGTGAACATGGGGAAGTCAGTGGATGTGATATACTTTGACTTTAACAAAGTTTTTGATACCGTCTCCCACAACATTCTTGCCATCAAGTAAAAGAAGTATGGATTGAATAAATGGACTGTAAGGTGAAAAGAAAGATGGCTAGTTTGTCAGGCCCAATGGGTAGTGATCCACAGCTCAATGTCTGGTTGGTTTCAAGTGGAGCGTCCCAAGGATTGATTCTAGGGCCAGGTTCTAGGGCCAGAGTCCTGCACTTGGGACAGAAGAATCCCAAACACTGCTACAGGCTGGGGACCGACTGGCTAAGTAGCAGTTTGGCAGAAAAGGACCTGGGGATTACAGGATATTAGGATGAGACGCTGGATATGAGTCAACAATGTGACCTTATAGCAAAGAAGGAAAATGGGTGCATTAAGAGGAGAATTTTCAGCACAGAAAGGCTGTTCTCAGTACAAAACACTTTATGCCTGGGTCTCAACAAAGATGCTAATTACCCTACCCATTACAAAGATAGCTTCCCCAATTATCACCTCTAATATCATTAGCTCACAGACATTAACCTCCTCTGCTCATCCCCCCTCTGTTCTGAAATTTGATTTGTCCTTTTTGTGTGTGTTCACTTTTTTTGATTGTATCCCTTTGGTATATATGGTCATGCCAATTTTCTTCCACAATTTGATCTGAGGAAGTGGGTCTGGCCCACAAAAGCTCATCACCTAATAAACCATCTTATTAGTCTTTAAAGTGCTGCATAGTCCTGTTTTTTGTTTCAGCTAGACTAGACTAACACGGCTACATCTCTATTGCTGTTCTCAGTAGTGACAGATGGCAGAAAAAAACCCAGCAATGCTCTCAAGTTACAGTGGGGGAGGTCTAGGTTGGATATTAGGAAAAACTATTTCACTAAAAGGGTGGTAAAGCACTGGAATGGGTTACCTAGGGAGGTGGTGGAATCTCCATCCCTAGAGGTTTTTAAGTACCAGCTTGACAAAGCCCTGTCTGGGATGATTTAATTAGGATTGGTCCTGCTTTGGGCCGAGGGCAGGACTTGATGACCTCCTAAGGTCTCTTCCAGCCCTAGGAGTCCATGATCTACTTCAATATTATCATGAAGCTGAAAAGGCTGAAAGTAAAGCTCAATGAAAACAATATTGTGGCTTTGGATTCCAATTTCTGATTTTTATTTTTTCCAAACCCAAGTGACACTCCTACAGAGAGACAGCACAAGCTTTGATCAGCATGGAAGATCAATACATTCCATCATTTTGTTTTAGTTTCTGGGGTTGACAATATCCCTTTAAGGGGGCTGACAAGTCACACTATTCAAATCCAATGACAATAATTCTGTTCACTTAGGGCCCACACAAAAGCTCACTGAAGTCAGTGGAACTCTTTATTGATTTCTGTAAATGTACATCAACCCTTTGTTGCTTAAGTTTCAATTGCTCTATGTAATGAAACTATTGTCATGAGTTACTGTTCACCGTTGTAAGTACAGGTTCTACAATCAGATCATTAGTATATATAGTGGCTGTACCCTGAGCTGACAGAGCTAGCTTCACAGCAGGGCTAATATTATAGATTATTTAAAATAAAAAATTAAAAATATATTATTTTTCTTTAAAACATTTTTTAATTTAAATATACTTTTCCTCCTAAAAACAAATCTGTTTAAAATTAAATCAGAAATTGTGGTAACCTCTATTAAGGTATAAACTTATAATAACTATTAAAAACAGCTGACTAAATAAATAAAAATGAGACGTATTAATGAGCCTTCCCCAAACTTTAGTAAGTTTGTTAAGGATATGTATAAAGTTGCATTTGGGGGGCAATTGGAATTCAATGCACTAAAACAACATTTTAAAATTGTTTTATTAGTTAATCAAAATTATCTTAAATGTACTTGGATACATAAAAAGAAAAAAAGAAATTAATCAAAATATGGTTCACATTTAAAACTAATAGATTTATTAAACATAGCAAGGATTAACAGTAGCTCATGATTGTTTCTGGTTATCATGAGCTAAGTGTTCACATGTATTGAGGGACTGTACTTAAAGATATAGATAGTGCTTTGTGGGATTTTCAAAGCACCAAACCAGGTTATGTCTTATGTGTTGAAATCAATGGGAGTTAGGCACTTCACCTAATTGTGAAAATCCCATGAGCCAGCTATCCGCATCTTTAGGAGCCTAAATATCTTTGGAAATCTGGCCTTATCTCCCTCAGCTTTTTAGAATAACTGCAGCTCATCCCCTCACGCCCCCTCACACCTGGGTATTATTCAGAGAGTCCAAGAGAATAACAAACTTTCCTGCTTTTTATAGCTCTCAGTCATTTTTGCAACTTTAAGCAAACTAGTCCAAGTGAAGCAAATGATCTTTCTTCACCTCCAGTTTACACCGAACCAAAAGTAATTAAGGAAAATAATCTTCTGCACCACAGAAAATGAATGTGCTTATGTTAGGGAAAATGTAAATACCAGCATTCTCTCCATGATAAAGACTGAAAATAATATACTTTCTGAACTTGTTTCTTCTTATGTATCCTGTACATGCAGGGTAATTTTGTTTAAATAATAAAAACAATTTTAAGGTGTTGTTTTTGAGCATTTTAATTGAATTCCAATTTCCACCCAAATGCAACTTGACACAAACCCCAGATAAAAAAATTAAGAAATGCATCAGCCATCATTTTCTAAAAACAATAGGAATAAATGTATATTGAGATACATCATTGCTTAAACAAATGTGCATATATAGAGAGTGAATCCTCCTGGTTAGCAAAAAGACGTACCAAATTTAGGCTTTAGTTAGTTGCAAACCAACATATTGTGATTTTCCCAGCCAATGAGAATAAACCTTTCTTTAGGCAAATAACTGAACAGGACAAATGCAAAACAAGATTAAAATCAATTATTTAAATCAAAGTTTCCTGCTTGCTGGTTTAAATTATGATTTTAAAATAATCAGTGTTGTATAGTAATTTGATTTAAAAATCAATCCACCCTGCTTCACAATATTATTGTATTGGCTCTGAAATGTTGCTTCACATACTACTATTATGTTCCATGCAGAGAATTATCTTGTGAGCTCCAGAAACTTGCCAGTAGTAGAGCTAGGGATAGAAACAGGGTTCCCTTCTCATTCCCCAGCATCGCACTCTTACTACAGTAAAAGAACAACTCAAACAGCAAAGTTCAGCCCTCTGAAGAACTATATCAACCATATGCTACTAAGACAATAGAAACCAGTTATGGAACATTCCCTTGAATTATTCATTATGACAACATTAATTATCAGCCATTTTGGCTTTTGATGCCACAGCCATGGAAGAGGATGGGGAAATGAAATGTTGGGCCATTAACCAGAAACTTTTTGCCTCCACAGTGCCTCCTTGTTGGACATGTTGCATATATTCCTATTAATGTTGGCTTTGGACAAATGGCTGAGGAAACGGTCATGTTCTCACCATGCTTGGCACACATCTTTTGCGGTGTGCACATTACATTGGCTGTGCTGCCAGCCTCAAGCATTCCAACCTTGTGAGGCAGACCTCAAAAATCATAGAGATTTGTTTAAGAAGCATGACTTCAGAGAGGAAAAAAAGACAGAAAGATCTTTTCATTTGCCTTTTGGCTTCTAAGCTTTTACTACACACTTAAATCATGTTTACAAGCTTTTCTCCAAACCATGAAGATTAGAACTGTACTTTGAAATGAAAGCTGAGATTTTCATGCAGTCTCACCATTCCAGCATCTGGGACTTTAAGAAAGCATACAAAATATCACAAGACTTCCAATAAAACAGAGTTAAGAGAGCAGACTCCCCTGTGAAGTGGAGTTGGGAGCAACCATTTCTTTCTGAGCAAAGAATCTATATGAAACTTCCTGGAGATTCCTCTCTCCTATATAGGTTATTTCCACAGATGAGGGTCCAGCACGGGGACAATCTAAATATAATCATTCCTTAGTAAGTACCATGATCAGCCTAACACCTATTGGGAAACTTGGGATGTTGTTACTCCAAATTCTTTGGCATATTTTTTTTTTTCAAAAGCTCTTTTCTTTTTGGTTTCAAAAATAGAATCCTTAAGGGTTCTCTGCAAAGTACCAATTGCAATTTATTTTGTAATTCATACATAAAGCATATTTTAGTGGTGGTGCCTGATGATTTTTTAAACCACTGCTATATACATAGATATAATATTAAACAGATTTGTAGCCAGTTATAAAAGCACAATACAATAATGAGAGTTCCTACCTTTTTCAGGAACCGGACCCCATAGGTAAATATATAAAGATAAAATGTAAATCTCCACCTGAAAAAAGTAAACAGATTGACACTATGATACTAAGTTTACATATTTTGTAGCACAACATCTAATCTCCTATTGCACCATAAGATTAATGTATATTGGCCAATCAAACCATTCTTTTCATTCAGAAGATTGCTGTCAAGTCCCTAGTGACTAGAAGCAAAGTTCTTGCGGAGATGTGCTTAAATCTTGCTGAAATGAATGGCTGTCAAGCACTTGCTCACAGTTAAGTACATGTTTAAGTGATTTCCTGAATCTGAGCCCTAGTATTCTGTCTCTTTTTATGCAATTAAGTTCTTTAGGACATATTTGCTTCCTTTGGCCTATGCTGAAGGAAGTTTTGCCTGAGTGATGATTGCAAGATTGGGTCTTTGGCTACAAAGCAACTGGTAGAGCACCGAATTCTAACTGTCTTCCTTATGTTCAAAGAACTTTACTTTTAAACTTAATACAAAACTTAATATAAAACTCTCCTCGTTGTCAGTGCTTTTCAACTACCTGCCCTTCTCATATCTCAGCACTAACAAGAGAGTGTTCTATGCTTTCAGCAATGAAAACATTTGTTAAGTTAGATTATTACAGTGTTCCCTGCTGTAGGGAAGAGCATCAGCCAAGTGAGCTGGGAGCTCTGTAATGGACTCTAACTACTAGTCCTTGGAGTGGGCGATGATTTGTCCCTAGAGGTCTCAGGTGAACAGCCGATAAGCATACCTGCCAATCCACCCCAAAAGTTTATAACTGAAAAATGTTCCAAACTTTCTCACTCTGCAATACCTTTGACACAGTAAGTCTATCTATCCTTAGGGAACGACAGGGAAAGCACAGATTGAGCCTGGAGTTGAGGACTGCACCAGTGCAGTGTAGTGCTTTGTGAAGATGCTACATATGTCAATGGCAGAGCTTCTCCCATCAGCATACATACTCCACCTCCCCAAGAGGAAGTAACTATGTCAACAGGCAAAGCCCACCCATTAACACAGTGATAGAAATGTAGCCGTGTTAGTCTGGGGTAGCTGAAGCAAAATGTAGGACAATGTAGCACTTTAAAGACTAACAAGATGGTTTATTAGATGATGAGCTTTTGTGGGCCAGACCCACTTCCTCAGATCAAATAGTGGAAGAAAATAGTCACAACCATATATACCAAAGGATACAATTAAAAAAAATGAACACATATGAAAAGGACAAATCACATTTCAGAACAGAAGGAGGATGGTGTTAGAGGTGATAATTGGGAAAGCTATCTTGATAATGTGTAAGATAGTTTGAGTGTTTGTTCATTCCTTTTTGGAGAGTGTCGAATTTTAGCATGAATGACAGTTCAGAGGATTCCCTTTCAAGTGCAGATGTAAAAGGTCTTTGTAGCAGAATGCAGGTGGTTAAGTCATTGAGAGAGTGTCCTTTCTGGTTAAAATGGCAAGAAACTGTTTTTCCATTAACACAGTGCAGTCTACTCAGGGTTTTAGGATGGAATAACTGTGTTGCTCAGGTGGATTTTCCACCCCCCTGAACAATATAGTTACGCCAACATAAGCTAGTAGTTTAGAGCAAGTCTAAGATGCAACAAAAAGGCAAACCAAAGTCCCATCTTCACCTAGGGTTGCCAGATGGTCTCCCCCCAAAATACCGAACACACAGGCTAAAAATTTGTCGCACAAAAAAACCACACATCCTGCGTGGCTACTACCAAGAGCCACCAAGCTGGGAACAGAGGGGGAGGCAGCAGAGCCTGCTACCTAAAGCAGAGAGAGGCAGACCCCGGGGCAACACAATGGCAGGGTGTGGGGGGGGGGGGGGCAACCATGGATAAGAAGGTGACTCCCCCATAGCCAGGTCTTTGGGTGTCCCAGTGAGAAGAAGCAGAAAGTTCTCCCCAGTCAGTTTTGGCTGAGAGCCCATGGAAGGTGCCTAAACGCAACTACAAAGCACCTGCGGGCTTCTCTCCTGGACTACGGTGCCACAACAAACTTGAACAGCACTCAGGAGCAGGGACAAGACTTCTCCTCCTCCCCAAGGCATGACTTCTCCTTAGACACAATCAGCTGAGGGCTCCCAGCACCGATTGTGCCCCGCCTCCCAGCCACTCCCCCCGCCCGGCTTCTACACACAATCACAAGCTCCCAGCTGGGAGACGGGGCCGCGATCGGTGCTGGAAGCTTAGGGTTGCATGCAGAAGCCAGGTGGGGGGAGTGGATTCCCAGCCACTCCCCACGCCCTCACCAGGCTTTTGCATGCTACCACAGGCTCCAGCGCCGATCGCAGCCCTGCCTTCCAGCCACTCTTCCTACCCCTCCTAGGCTTCCATCCAGCACCCAGCCAGAAAAACAAAAAATACTGGACATTGCACATGTCCGGTATTTTCTGAAATTTTTACCGGACAGAAGGCACAAAAACCAGACAGTCCAGTAGAATACTGGACACCTGGCAACCCTATCTGCACCACTGGGTGCCAGACTACCCAAAGAAGTCAGAGTGAATCAGCCTGAATCAGACACCATCTGCCAGGAAGACAGGAGCCAAATCAAGCCTGAAAACAGGGCCTGATTCAGAAAATACAAGTCACTGGGAAGTGGGTGGAGATCTGGTCAAGGCCTAACATAATGTATCTTCTGGAGGAAATTCCTGGATCCCTGAAAGAGGCAGTGTAGCAACACACAGGGGAGGTAAACACCAGGGGCTTTTCAGTTAGGGTGCTCACTGCAGGTATAGTGTCATAAGGTGACATTGGCCATTAATAAGGAAAGAAGCCACACACTTCTAACTGGGTTTTAAGAGAGGGCATCTGGACCATATACGTGGTATAGCCCAACAACATAGAGAGTCAGTCTGGAAAAGGGCAGAGGAGAACTACTTGGTTCACAGAAAGGGCAGCAAACTGCAGGAGGTCCTGGAAGGAAGCAGTGGCTGGTTCCTGGGGGAAGGCTCAATGCAGGAAAGCAGCAAAGAGTTTTAGCAGCAAACTAAAAAACCAGGAGAGCCAAATGGCAGAGAAAGGCAGAGAGAGGGAGAGAGAGAGAGAGAGAGAGACAGTAGGCAGGAAAGGGCTGAGAGTCAGGGTGGCCCCATGGGGAAGTGTGGGATTGCAGTCTCACTAAAAGGACTGGAGTGGGTTTTCTGGTAAACATACAAGAGAGGATCAAAGAAGAGCCCAGTTTGTGGTATGTGCTCTTTTGATGGACTACACAGGATATGGAATTTTAAGGACGGTATAAACTGGGTACTAGAATGGAGTGTTTTGGAGGGGCTTCTGTTATAGAGTATTTTGAATTATGTTTTCATAAGAAACCAAACACCGGGGAAGGTATAGATAGGTATAGATAGATAGGAGAATTGTTGTGATGTTATTGGGGACTCTAAAGGAGGAGAACGGAGATAGGTACACTCATATCTCAGCTTGCTGCAGGACCACCTTGTGACAAATAATTTGGGCTCAAGATGGATGGATTTAAATCCAAGTGATTTAAATCACTGGATTTTAGTCATAATGTATAATGTATATTTTCCTGTCTTTGTGAGAACATTATCTAGGGAGGTGGTGGAATCTCTATCTTTAGAGGTTTTTAAGGCTTGATTTGAGGCTTGAAGCCTTGGCTTGGATAATTTATTTGGGGTTTGTCCTTCTTTTTGCTAACCGGGAAGTTATCTAATTTAAGTTACATTTATTCAGATTATTAATTTTACATTTTTTACTAACTTATCACATGGCAAATTTACTAAATGATTAAATTTTACTTGTATTTTATATCAAGCGCTATTTGGAAGGGAATTCACATTAAATTAAAAAATGAACACAATTGATTTATTTTTGTTAAATAAAACTACCCTAATAGATACAGATATATAAGGGGGGGAAAAGCTTTACAAAAAATTTATCAAAACTTGTGTTTAAATTTTAAACTGATTTATTAAAATGAAGCATTTTATGTAGATAATGAACTGAATTGATCATTTCTGGTCAGCATGTCCTTCAAGATTTTAGAATTAGTGGATCTTATCCGGTCACAATTTTTATTCAAGTTTAGAAAAGGAAACCAAGCTTTCCTGTTTTGTCAGCCCCAATTGATTTCTTAACTTTGAATGAACTAGCCAATGAATTGAAAGAGCTGAAATGAACCTAATAATCTTTCTATACCTTCAGAAGAAGCTAATTTCCTCAAGATGTTTTGTTTTATTTTTAGCAAACAGGTTCTGGTTGCTTAGTCAGTGACTTCCAGTTGTTCAGAGATTTGACTTTTTAAAAACTTGGCAGTAAATATGTGGTATTTAGCATTTTTGTGTAATTTAAATTATTAATATCTTATAATAAGTTTAGGCCTTGATATGGGATGGCAATTTAATATTAAATAGAATTTAAATAAACCCTGTCTTTTAATTTAAATTAAAAACATCCTGAGTTTCATTAACAAGTGATACTAACTTTCACTAGTTGATATTAGAGCTGTTTTATTGCTCCAGTAAAATGTTTGCTCAGTAAAATTGCTTGATTGCTGTTAATTGCCCCTGAAGCATATTTGTGGATTTTTGGGGCAGATTGGAAGGCACATAAGGGGAGGTCAGGCTACCAGTCAGTATACAAGCAACTAAAAGGAAATGTCAGATCTTGTTCACAAAAATATCATAAAGGACAAATTGGGCAGATAGTGTGTGTAAAAATGCCAGTGAGATTCAAATTGTGAACAGAAGCAGCCTCTTGTTCATCTGTAAGACAGGCAGCTACAAAAATGAAATTGCTTAATTGGTATTACACAAATATTGGTCCTTTCAAGAACTCCATAGTACCTGCAACATACCAGTATCTTTCATGTTGCCAGGCTACTCAGGAACTGTTGTAAAGCCTAGTATTCAAGTAAAGAATATTACCTCTGGTATGAGAAAGTCTTCTAATTATGTGCAGCAGGTAGGAAATAGCAAGTTGAAGGAATGTAAGAGAGTTTCCTTATGAGCCAGGTCCTAGGATAACAAGCCCTTTTCCATAACTACGTAGCCATGCAATTCATGTGCAG